GGCGCCAGCCTTCTCGTACTCATCTCGGATCTTCCTCGCCAGGTCCATGAACATCCTCGCGTACATGATCCCAGGTATGACGAGAAGTAAGAACGTGGGGAAGGCGACCAGCGCCAGCCTCCACATCATAAGGAATCCTACCAAGTAGCTACTAGCGAACAACGCCATATTATTTATGAAGTTGGGCACCTGCATATGTCCGAAACATTGTTAAGCAACACCACATCATCCAGAGAAAAGGGAAGATGGTTCGTGACCTTCTCGCCGATGACGTCTTGGATGATGAGGCTGTCGCTGGAGACGCTGGTGATGACCTCTGACATGGACGTAGCGTTGAGATCGAAGTACTCCACGTCCTGCCTGAGTATTGCCTTCAAGTATCGCGTCCGCATCCGCATTGCTTGTCTGTCACCCGTCCTCGTCCAACAAAATCCTTCTGCCATCACCACGGTCACCGTTAGCAGAAGAAATGAGGAGGAGGAAAGCAACAGGTGATCGTACCCAAGAAGGACGTCACGAAGACCCCAAGTGACAGGTACACCAAGTAGAGCGAATTCTGCAATAAAAACAAACAGAGGTCGGAACGGCGAGAGCATATCCAGCACAGGTCACGAGAGAAGGAGAGGGGATCGAACCTTATTCACCTGGTCGATGAATCGAGGAGAAAGTGAGGGGCCGGTGCCGAGGTTATTCATCATGTTGCTGGTGATGAAGAGAACCATAGGCGTGGCGATGCCGCTCATGATGGCGCCCGAGAACCCTAGAGCCATCAACCACTTGTCCACGACGTCTGCATGCATGAAGATGGTGCAGCGAAGATAGAAGGACAAGAGGTTCCTCCTCTCCTCGCCAGTTGCCATTTTCTGGTCTCGCTGCTTCATAGACCGCGAGCAAACGAGCGAGGTGGAGCGCTGCTATATAGCCCGCAAGCTCAGGCGATCGGCGTGACGCCCCAAAATACTTGTGTCTGATTTCGACGCCGAAAAGAAGGCGGGCATATTTAAGACTCCGCATTGATGACGTAACAAGTAAAATAAGTACGTCATTGATGACGTAAAGATTGTTTCGATTCGGGAATGTAATCGAATAATTTAAAATTGTAGATCAAGAAGCGATGCGCATGGTAGATTATTAGATTAAATACTAAAATTATTTACGTTTATATTTCACACGTGCCCTAAAATATTTCTTATTTTATTTTTAATCTCTTAATGTATTAAGATTGCATGACCTGTTTATCAGTTACCAATTCATATTTATCATTCATTGGCTACTCATTTAATTACTAGTTAAATCTTTATTTTATGTTAACCGCTTTACCACTTTATTATGTTTGAAGTAATGTGAATATTTTAGATAAAATATGGAACAGCATTATATATATATATATATACTAACTTAGAATTTATATTTTCTTCTAATAAAGGAGGAAAAAAAGCACAGTATAATAAAGTGGCAGTGATCGGATCAGGCCAATCACGTTGCCGGTCGGCACTAACGTTGCCGTCCTATCGCAAGAGGGCGGCGGATTCCAATGCTTCTTTGCATGCCTGCCTTTTATAGCCATATATTTTTTTTTTTCTATTTTTTGCTTCTGTGCTAACTGGCTGAACAAATTGACTGGCATAGACCTCTTATAATTAGTCATCATGGCTCGTCCTGCTACCTGATAGAGATGTTTTTACTGCAGCAGCATGTGATGGCGTTTGTTGAGTGAACTCCTTGGTATTTGTCAATGAGCAATTATTCTTTACGTTGAAACAGTTGTTGGTGGATAAAAATATATATATATCAAGACATCATAGAAAAATGGCAAAAAAAAGTCATTAGATAATAGGGGATCTGAAGAAAATGACTACTACCATGAACACACAATTTTATCTCGAAACCATCTAAAGTTAACAAATCCTTCGGAAAGCCTTAATAAAAAAATTTTTACTGTAAGATTATCTTTGAGGTACCATGTCAAATAAAAATCCTTGGTGATGATAGGTAAGGAATGTTCGTTTCAAGATTCCAATTCATTCTTTATCGGTTTCGAAACTCTTAGCCGTGTTCTGTGGGTGATTTATAAAAAAAACCGTCTCAGTGCAAGTATTTAATAGCATTGATGCTACAACAACGCTGTCAGATGCAGTAAGCCTTTCTGAATGCTAACCGAGTTAGGAAGGTCTGCTTCCTCAATCGTCTTACTTACTGACATCGTTCAGTAGCTTGGGAGAGAAACCAACAATTTACAACTGGCATGTTCTTGCTGATCCAGGCCTTGATGCATGGATGAATGCCCTGATGCCACCCACCGTATGACGAGTCTTAAAGCGTAAAACCTTGCGAATGCCATCGGCTAACCTTAGCTGAATTGTAGTCAAGGGCAAAGAGGCATCGACAATACCTAAAGATGACGGAACCGAACTGGATGCAGCATTATTAACACCAAGTTCAACCAAAGAACTGTCAGAATCTCCCCACCCCCAAGTGTCCTTCCCACACCTTGAAATGAAAAGAGACGCCCACAGGCTCCTGAAACAGGTTGAAGAATAGCATGGGTAACTCGATATACAAGGAAACATAGCTGTAAAACCGAGGTGGACAGAATACATACAGGGCAATTTTCTTCCCTCCGAATGGAATTGACATTAACCATGGACCTCCGATGTGCTGGCTCAAGTTCTTTGGGGCATTCAGACTTTCTAATGCTCTGCAGATAAGTAACATAGTTGAAATCTTATGATTAAGAAGGAAATAATGGAAGGTTAACCCAAGCAATTTCTTTTGAAGGAATATTAACAAATTATTATTCGTAGATTGAATCAAATCCCATCCTAATCATAATGTACAAAATACAGAGTACAGGCTACCTACAAAATTCAGCTTAAGAGTGTAAATATCTTTGACTTATGTTAAGTATAACAACATAATTTGTCAAATTTTCAGAAAAAAAATATCATCATCTTAGTTTTTCCTTCATGATTTATCAACTAGTAATCAGTCACCAACAACACTAATTAGATGTCTCACTGGTTATTTCCTTTTAAAATTAACTTAGTGAATGATGTGTCTCCAACCACATGCCATACACAGCTTTCTAATTTCATCTTCCCCCCTTCAAACTTTTGAAGGCCACACATAAGAAAGGATAGAATTATTTCCATCTGTGCATAGTAACTTCATGCAAAACGCACGGTTTGTGAGGGCTCAATTAGTTTCACATCAGAAAGCAGATGAAATTGTTGGTAATATAGGGCTTCATGGATATCCTATTAATAAGACGGTTTTAAGTATTTTAGTCCATCAAATCAGATCATAGCAATTGATCTCGGAGTGAATCTATTATCAAAATATCAATAAACAATGCAAAAGGGCCATAGACACCACTCTTACAAAATGGGTCTTGTGAGAATAACCTTATTTTTATATGAAATATTGTGAAGTATGCAACACATAAGAAATGTATAGTGGGTTGGACTGGTAAAAAAAAATTACATGGTTTTACTGTTAGTAACTCGATTTTAAACAATCTTAGCCACATGGTTGAAGACTCATTCTATCTAAATCATTAAGAAAGTAAGTTCCATCAGGTATAGTCGAGACATTAGGACTATTTACTAACAAATGATTTTATTATAAAGAGAAGTCTACGTCAACAAGATGTACTAGAGAAAAGCTACTATGGTTTATCAAATAGAGGAATTTGATTTTTATAATCTATACATGTTAAGGTTGACATATAAAAAACAATATTTAGTCCAAGTGATAAAAGATTACAAACCCTGTGCTAATACACATTCGAACTAATGCATATATATTATATTCCTAAATTGCACCCTACATTATAATCGTCACAAAGCTGATTCACATGTTTGAGAGAACAACATATTAATCTCTAAACCATTATAATAATGTAGGACTTATCAACAACTATATATGCTTCACTTAAATAAAATAGCAATAGTCCTTGGCCATAGCATCCTGATTTAAGGCTTTCAGATAACAATGTGCAATCATAAATATTTTCCAGGCAAATCTCAATTGAGATTTACAAGGACAATTTACATTGGTAAAACATACACTAGGTTAAAAGGCAACATAATAGCATTAGGCCGAGAAACCATGGTAACTTGGCATCAAAGGAAAAAACTCTCTAAATTCTTGGTGGGCTTCAGACGTGTTCTGCAATCCTAAGTTAGTCCACTTTCTCCACAAGCAAATGTTTGACCAACAAAACAACAAGTCCAAGTTACATAAGCTTGCTGTTGAAATTTATCAAAGTTAAGGTTTGCATGTCATTATCTAGTGACCCATTATCTCCCTTCTTAAATGTACTCCCAAGCAAAAGACTAAAATGCCGGAACCAAGTTGCCAGTTGAAAATAGCTACTCGTAGTACCTCTGGCACTCATGAGAGAGAGAATTGATCATGAATAAGGCGACAGATTAGTTAACAGAAAGCACCAAGTAAGGCTATAACAATTTTCGCAACATATTATCTCAGTTCATTAAAGCTACAGTTTCATAAAGAAAAGTTTTTTAAATGATCTCCCTTCACAACATCAAAACTAATTTAAAAGAAATTTAAGAGGTGATCATTTTTTATGATTATTTTAATCACTTCCAAGTTTCAACGTATCAGATTTGCTGCAGCATCTATCCTTCTGCCAAAAAAGCAAATTTCATTTGCTTTCTATGCTAAATAAACAATGTTCATAAGCCTTAATCCATTCATCTTCATTGTCAACATGTGAAGCTTCACAGCTGGTTATCAACTAGCACCAACAATCAGAATTATCATCGACCACTATAGTTTCACAGTTGATGCTATCAGTACATTCAAGATGCTGCAGTGTGCTTATGGTTCACAGCCCATACAATATTACGATGCCCTTGGAGAAGCTATAAATTGATTGGCGAGTGCACAATCCAAATTTTTTAAAAACATGCAGACCATATGCTAACAAAAAAGACTGACAAGTGATGTGGAATACATTCTCTCCAGGTTCCGTCAAGCATTCTTTTGCTCCTTATTAAATAGTGATATCATATTCATTGGTTCTCCTTCATCCACAGCATTGCTTAACCTCTAAATTCCCCATGACATTTTTAATGTTTACTTCTTATTGTAAATATAACCTATTCAGTATACAACTGATGTGTTACTTTTTCACATTCAAAGTCTAAAAAGTGAATGACAACGTAGTTAACAGGAGAAGTAGAAAGACAACCAATCTCACATATACAAGATTTCCACTGGAATATCAAATAAGAAATGCTGTTCATCGGTAGAAGTGAAACCCACATACATAACAATCACATCTAACCAATGGTGATTGGAACTAATGTCAAGAATCAAAGCATCATCCAGAACATGAAAATACAGATCCTATCGGAACTATGCACAATACTTAATCATAAAGCAGCCGAGACCTTATTCACATGATGAGAACCTGCAACTTTAGAAATCCTCGACAGATGGTACAGTCTTAAGCAACAAATGATTTTAGCGAAACATATAAATCGTAAAGATAGGACAATATTTATAATACCTCTAGGAAGGATGCATTTTCAGGATCATCAAACCTCCTTAACGCACCATCATTCACAGCAAATCCATGCCTCCAGAAACAGATATTATGCACAAAATTTTCAGGCTGCTGGGGAGTAGGTGGTACTGATTCACCTGTAAAATAACCTGCCAGTTCCAGTGAAACTTCTTGAACTAGAGGACTGAGGCTGAAAAGGTCCTTGCATGGCACCCATCTGCCTAGCTTGCTCAAATATTGCATCCACATCATAGCCACCTTTCAAAGGATCTTGGACAAGCATACCACTGCATAAGAGTAAGACAAAATGAGGCAGAATTGAAGGGGAATTCATATACATAATAG